GTATCTCTGTGCTGTGTGGCTGTGGGCGTACAGCAGTAAGGTTCCTTTTGGTCACTCTAGGAGTTGTCTAAGATCACTATGCCCATCGTCTTCAACGAGCCGCTGAGCTTCCTGCAGCGGATCACTGAGTACATGGAGCACGTGTACCTCATCCACAAGGCTTCCCGCCAGGCTCAGCCGCTGGAGCGCATGCAGGTGGGCGGAGCCCCGAGTGTGGTAGATCCGCCGACAGGCGGTCATGGGCTGGACTCTCACCAGCTGGCCACTCCTGGGACGGCCGGGGCCGTGCAGACTGCTGGCCATGTAGCATGTTCTCTGTGGTGGTACTGGAGCTGGACCAACCAGAGGGCTCCCGCCCGCCATTGTCCTGCCTGGAGTCTCTGTCAGCACTGGCCTGACAGAGCTGCAGCTGCTGCTGATATGGGCTGTGGGCTGGGGGTTCCTCTGAGCATCAGAGCCCCACGAGTGTGTGTGTGTGTGTGTGTGTGTGAGTGAGAGACAGAGAGACAGAGAGGGAGACAGGCAGGCAGATTGACATCATCTCCACCTGCAGGGACAGCTGGAGGGGGGTGCAAAGTGCACAGTCCCTGCTTTGTGGCTTTGAGGAAGTGGCACTGTGACAAAGCACACTCCCCAGATGTTCCGTAATCTCAAAGCATGTGACAGCATGAGAGTGAAAGTGGCCAAGTCACCCGTGACTGGAGAGGGAGGCGGAAGAGGGAGTGTGCTAGGCACCGCGTCAGTGCGCATCTCCGGGCCACGCTCACTGTCCTGTGGCTTTGCAGTCGGTGGCTGCGTTTGCAGTGTCAGCCGTGGCCTCACAGTGGGAACGCACTGGCAAGCCCTTCAACCCGCTCCTGGGAGAGACCTACGAGTTAATCAGGTAAGGAGGGGAGGCCGCACCTAGCAGGCTGGGGCGGTGGAGTGGTGTGCTGCCCACACGGCAGAGCGGAGGGTGAAAAACAGACCAGGTGTTAGGGCCACGCCGCGTGGGGGATTCAGGAGTGGGGATGGAGTGCGTGTGGAAGGGTGGGACGAGCGTGCAGCGCTGTGGAGGCTGGTGCTTTGTCTTTGCATCTTACTGGAGTGAGAGCATGCTTGACAAAACATGCACCGTCGACACAGTTGCTGACGGGCACTTCGGTGGCCGTGGTTACGCTCCTCAGGTTGGGCCGCCCCTCTCCCTAGTCTTCTCCAGGTCATTCCCCAGTGGGGCCGACTTTGCACTAGAGTGGAGATGGGTGCTGGTCAGTGGAACGAGGCCAGTTTACCAGCATTTCCTAGGAACTGAGATCAAAGGCGGCTGCCGCTGAAGGGAAGGCCCGAGAGCCCTGCTCCCCCCAGCAGCCCCGGGAGGGCTCGGGAGGCGGGACCGGGCCGGCCCAGCTCACAAGGCAGCACCTGTCCAGTGGAGCTCCCTCTGGGTGTTTCTCCCCGCACTGCTTCTCCCCTTCCTGAGGCTCCAGCCTGCACCCCTGCTCACCTTCCCCAAGCATCCATCCCTGACCTGTGCCCAGCACACACTTTGGAGCCTGGAGCCAGGGGCCAGACCCTGTCGTCCATGGGGTGGTGGCTGGGTGGCACCCCCTCCACTGGGGGTGTTGCCAGCAGGGCTGCAAGCATCAGACAGTTGTCTCGTGGGCCAGCCAACCCAGTGAAAATGCCGCCCCCTGCAAGATGGGATGCAAACCAGTCTGGGAGGTTAGCTAGTGTTTGACTTGGCACTCATCAGATAAGCCACGTGAAGGGGGTGAGCTGGGTGGGCGGGGCAAGGTTAACATGCTGCAACGGTGTGGGGCACAGCACAGCTTTCGTTCTGCTTATCCTGGGGACCCCCGAGAAGTATGTCCTACACACACCCTGGTACCCGTGCCTGAAGGCACACAGTCAGTCTGATGACCTGGCTCCTGAGAAATGGGGCAAAGTCACCCTCCAGCATCTCTGAGGAGGCTGCCCAAGTGCAGCTTTGGTCAATGGGGTCACTAGGGAGATGCAGGGTGGTGCTTTACATCAGAAATCTTCCTGTACAAGACGGTGTGTGTGTGTGTGTGTGCACGTGTGTGTGTATGCGTGTGTGTGTTTTCATGATGTGGTGGTGTTAACCTGTGTCCTTTGCTGGTCTCTGTGTATATGTGTGTGCATGTGTGCATGATGCAGCACTGTTAACCTGTGTCCTTTGCTGGTCTCTGTGTATATGTGTGTGCATGTGTGCATGATGCAGCACTGTTAACCTGTGTCCTTTCCTGGTCTGTGTGTGTATGTGTGTTTGTGCGTGTATGTGTGTGCACGTGTTTGCATGATGTAGCGGTGTTAACCTGTGTCCTTTGCTGGTCTCTGTGTGTATATGTGTGTGTATGTGTATGTGCGTGTTTGTGTGATGCAGCATTGTTAACCTATGTCCTTTGCTGGTCTCTGTGTGTGCGTGTGCGTGTGTGCATGATGTAGCAGTGTTAACCTGTGTCCTTTGCTGGTCTGTGCATGTATGTGTGTTTGTGTGTATGTGTGTGCGTGTTTTGCATGATGCAGCAGTGTTAACCTGTGTCCTTTGCTGGTCTATGCATGTATATGTGTTTGTGTGTGTGCGTGCATGTTTGCATGATGCATTGGTGTTAACCTGTATCCTTTGCTGGTCTGTGTGTGTGTGTGTGTGTGTGCGTGTTTGCATGATGCAGCGGTGTTAACCTGTGTCCTTTGCTGGTCTGTGCGTGTATGTGTGTTTATGTGTGTGTGTGCACATGTTTGCATGATGGCAGTGGTGTTAACCTGTGTCCTTTGCTGGTCTTTGTGTGTGTGTGTGCGTGCGTGTTTGCATGATGCAGGGGTGTTAACCTGTGTCCTTTGCTGAATGTCATGTTGTTGCCGTCTTCCCATGCCATCATGGACTGCGTCAAGTGCTGCATTTCACGGACTCTGGGTTTGTTTCTGTCAAGTTGTGGCATTTCTGCATGTCACAGTTAAGTGTGTGTTTTCATAAGGTGGTATCTCACACACTTGGCGGTGTCCTGGATTCAAGGAGCCCAGTTTCTCTGATCGTTTAGCTCTTTGCCCTTGACCCTTTGTCTGTGACCGTCTCTAGGGGTTGAAATTGTGGTGGTTTTGGATGAGGGTGGATGAATGGGGGCTGGGGGTCTGCTCCATGTGTGAGTGTTCTGATGTGTGTGCCAGTGTTTTGAAGCAATCCACGGACAGCCAGGTGACCGTTGTAGGGGAGGGAGCATGGAGCCACGGTGGTGTCTGGGAGAGCGGCGTGGATAGCACCCTGACAGTCTTCACGTCCTGCGTGGTGGGCAGCCCTCACTGCTTGCTGCTCCGGGTGCCGGCTGGTTTGGGCGGCCTTGTGGCTGCTCACGGAGCACTGTTCTCTGAGAAGGCCAGCTGGTGAGGGGCAGC